CTGGAATTTATAGCTGTGCAGAATTGGTTAGGTAGGTCCTAAAACGATGGTGAATCACCCATTTCCAACTCTTTTGACTGACCAAATCGTGCTCAAACTGATAGTGGAACACTTCTTCTACACGTATGCATCGGTTGGAACCACCAAAACGCATTGGAAGACGCGTTTCATTAAGGGCAAAGTTGGAAGAAAACCAGTTTTTCTGCAGGTTTCCCAGGCGCCTGGCGCCTCCCATGATGCTTTTTTCGTCTTTTTGCTTCTTTTGATTAATTTGCACTCCCAAATGGTCCTAAAATGTCATAAATACAATATAAGCCAACCACAAACCATAATATATGAATTTTGCATGAATTGGAACTCAAACGATCGAGAAAAATCCGAAACAAAGCTGAAACATTGTAAAAACAGCATTTAAAACCTTCTTTTTACGCATGTAAACAAGCGTAATCACCTACCTCCTTACTATAAAACAAAGATCGACAGAGAGCCTTGGAGAATATGTGGCTCGCTTCAACGAGGAAAGATTACTAGTCAGAGATCTTACCAACGGAATATCACTACTTGCTTTCATATTTGGGATAAGAGAAAAAGAGTTATTGTTCTCTTTTAGAAAAAAGGTCCCAACAACTTTCTCAGAAGCATTGACTCGAACCCAAAAGTATATGGGCGCAAAAGAGCTACTCCATTCAAAATTGGATCTCGACAAAACTCAAGACCAATCAGATCAACAAGACCCTAAAAAAAGATATACTCCAACGACAGTCTCGCTCGAACAAGAGTTAAGGGAGAGCAACGAGTATTGTGAAGATAATGCTGCATTATCTTGAGAAACCACATGATAATGTGCTTTTTCATGATTGAATAGGTTTTTATTGCTTGCATATTAGGTAGTATATGTCGTTTGTTTCAAATTACATATGATTTTATGTTTTCGAAAATAATTACTTACTTCTGATTAGTTCTATTATCCGAGATTTAATTAGCTTTTACTACTTGAGCATTTATTTTTATTCTAAACAAAAAAAAACTCTGGGGACATGGATAAGCTAATCAACATCTGGTCAAGGAACTCGAACTAGGATAGACCTAGAAGCATGTCGATAAGCTAAAAAGCCAATCAGTGAAATTGGGGAAGAGAATCCCAAAGGTGCTAAAAGGCATGCGTACAGGCCTAACAAGGTTAAAACAGAAAGCAGGCATGCCAAACCAATCAGTGAAACCCAGGGTATAAAACCATTTGGCAAAAGCCAAAATAGGTTAGAAACCCAAGGGTACCAACTAAACTCAGGGTATAAAATTATTGGCAAAAGCCAAATAGGTTAGAAACCCAAGAGTAAACCCTAGGGTATAAAACCATAGGCAAAAGCCACAATAGTTAGAATGCCAATGGTGGTACCGTTGGCCCAGCTAAAATTTATATCCCAAGACCAACAAAAAAAACCTAAATAGTTAAAATTAACTGTATGGCAGAGCCCAAGAGACTTGACCACAGCTGACTACGACAAAAAGATATGAAGACTAAAGCTAAAACAAAAAAGGATATCGACTGGACTCAGGTATAAAACCATTGGCAAAAGCCAAATAGGTTGGAAATCCAAGAGTAAACCCTTGAGTGTAAAACCATGGCAAAATCCAAACAGGTTAGAAACTCAAGGGTGGTATAGCTATTGCAATTGAAAGTTAGATCTCAAGACTAAAACCTAAATAGTTAAAAATTAACTGTACGGTAGATCCCCAAGAGACTTGACTACAGCCAACTATGACAAAAGGGTATGGGGCTAAAAGGGTCGACCCGTGAAACGATAGCCAACCACAACGAAAAGGTATAAGGGCTATTCTACAAAAACAACCACCCATGGAACGGCCGATCGACAAGTACTCTCAATATAGAAGTATTAGCATTTTTAATTATGCTTATTGGCTTTTATTTTGAGAGTGGGGGCTACTGTTATGGGAAGAAAAATATAGAACGGAAAAAGTGACAGAAGAGAAGTCACCGAAGACCGTCTGCTCGGGCCAACTCAAACTGACCTGTGGTTGGCGCCGAAACCTCCTCGTTGCCGAGGCGTTCTCGGCCAAAAGGCTGAGAACCCTAAACTGATTCCCCTCGATCTTGTGCAGTCCAATCTAAAATACTGCCTGATCTCGACCCTTGATCCGACATTAGGTCCACGACAAAACACATGGGCCCAGAAGTCCATATCTCCTAAAGATACCAGGGTTCGACTTTTGTAAACGTCAGGGAGATTAGGATTCAACTTCTATAAATAGGGAAGTAAGCCAAACCCTAAAGGTATGCTCACAACACCCTACACCCTATACTCAACTACTCCGATTCTAAATTAAGCATCGAAGCCCGTGTGGCAAAAGTCACACTGGTCTTAGTGCTATTCAGTTTTGCAAATCTCGTCGATCCCTTTATTCTAGAAGATTTGTGCGAATTTGGCGGAACCCAAAAGGCCAAATTTATGCATCAACATTTTCTAAAAAAAAATTAGTGTGTTTTAGTTTTAAAATATAATATTATGTAAAATTTTACCGTGAGAAATTATATGTATATTCTTTCTATTGGGATATGTACTAAAAGATAAATTATCACTTAAAGGTTGAGAAAAAATATTAATTATTAAAAAAGGTTCAAAGATGGTAGTTTGGAGAGTTTTTTTTCCTCTTTTTTTTTTAATACAAAGAAGATTAGAACTCACTTCCCTTTTAGTCAAATATAAATGTCTAAACTAACTATGACCAAAATTTAGTAAGTTCTTACCTAAGATTGTAAAATGTTTTTATTTTGGAAACATTTTTACTTATTATCAAAAGTGGCGTATATTTTCAAACCATAATAGACTTTTCTTTTTTCATCTCGGGAATTAAAATAAAAAATTAAAAAAGAAAAAACCAATTATCTAGTGTCTTCCCTGTACACCTGATTTAAACTCGAGATTCTTATTTCTCTTCAGACGAATTTCTCATTCAAATACTTGAAAGTTTTTAAGCCTAAAATGTTTACACGAATTTATTTATAATATAAAGGTTTAAATCTTATTTTGATTTCTTAAAATTTTATAGCTTTTGTTAAGATGTGATTCTAATCCCTCAACTTACACGAAGTCCTTAAATTTTTACAATAAAAAATATTCAATCTTTATTATTAAACTTTCACAAATCATTTAACAAAATGCAAGACCCAATATATTATGCGTAACTTTAGATATTTAAATATTTATATATACAAATATTCATTATCTTTTTTCTTCAGTATTGACGTGTAGATAAACAAAAATATTTTAATTAAATAATTGAAATATATATTTTAGTACTTAATATTTTTCCAATTTAATCTCTGTTGTTAAAAAAATTATATTTAGTCCCTCATGAATTAACAATTTTTTATTTTGTGTCTCACCGTTGGCGTAAATTAAAATTGGTCCTTGATAGCCTGATAGCATAAGAATTATTAGTAAATTGACAAAAATCTAGAAGGGAAAAAATGTTACTTAAGAAACAAAAGTTTCTAATTCATCGTTCGAATTTTCAAAAATTTTGTAGAAATTTCAAATGACATATCTTTCATTTAAATATTTGCAATTCACTAGTATTATATCATATAAGTTTATCATTAATAAATTTTTTTATTAATTAACATTCAAACAAAGTGAGACTAAATTGGAAAATATTGATACATAATAAACTAATTTGAAATTTTATGAACAATAGTGACTAAATTGAAAAGATACCCAAATATTATGGAATAAAATATATATTTAGCTTTTTTTTATGTAAAGTTTAAAATATTAAAATAAAATGTCAAAGCCAGCATAGCTCAGCGGTAATTGACTCAATTAGTTAAGATATATATTCCTAACTAGAAAGTGGTAGATTCAAATGACCACTTTCACGTATTGTTGTACTAAAAGAAATAGAATTCAGTTAATAATTGATTTATAGACGTGGTATTAAATATTCGTCGACACGTCGACATCCATTGACATCTCTATCATCCACGAGTTTG